TTTGCAGTTCACTTTGATGTACTTGACCATCCTTCCCACTTAGTCAGTTCCCCTACTATGGAGGTCTTTAAATATAAAAATGGAAATAGCAAACCTCTTATGGAATACTAAATCATAATAGGAGGGAAGGGGAGAAATAAATGAGCAAAAGAACTCTAAAGACAAACTAATCTTCATATTTTCAACTGAAATAAAAACTTGCTATTTCCAAATCCTTTTTGGAAGGACATTAATGAACAGAAAGCCCTATTCACAATATTAACTATACTTGGACAGGTAAAGCTCCTAGCACCCTAAGCATGTTCTTCACTGAAGGCAGCACTGTGTTTTGACTTCCCTGCTTGCAAAGCAGAATCACCTACTGGTCTTCTCCACTTCTCCCTCTATCCTCTTTTGCCTACTAGATCCCAGGAGACAGGAAGAGAGCATTACAGCAACACAGCAACTTCTGCAGATTTTCTCCTGTGCAGAAGTAAAAGCAACCAGGTGGCTGAGGAATTAAGGAAGAAAACTGCTCAGCCTCTCCAGATGTCAGTCCAACCCACACTGCTGAACTGGCACAGGACAGTGGGACAGAGTGGAACAGCACCGACCCACTGCAAATCTGCCAAGAGAAAATTACAGAAATTTATCTGTAAGTTACATGTCATGCCCTAAAGGAATGTAACAACTGGAGAGTGAAATTTACCATCCCATCCTGAAAATAAAGGCAAATGAGGTAATAACACTTCATACAGAGTGCTGTACCCACCATGAATTACTTACATAAATCCATTCTCTCTCTGGCATTTGTCTAGTGTGCTCTTAATCAAACTTCCTAATTTCCTAAAGAAAAGATGTCCAGAAGGTTTGGCAGTAGTCCCAGGCCCTTTGGTTTCTCCATATTCTTTGCACAATGCTTCAGCTTTGGCAAAAACTTTGCAAGAAAGAAAGGAAATAAAAATTATTTACATGACCCTCTTAAATCATGGTTCTGCTGTACAGTGCTTCAGTCTTGTAAGATACCAGAATCCAGTCAGGCCTCTTTCTTCCTAGAAACAAAACCAAACTGGCTCAAAGACAGCACTTCCAGCCAAGATTTCCTGCATCCAACAAGTGACTGGGCACAGGAGCAGAAAAAGATAGCTTTTTGGGTGGGAAGACACGGGGAAGCATTCTTATGTGTGGGGAAAAATGCAACAATAAAAGCCCAAGAACTGTGCCACATGGTAGGGAAAAACAGAGGGTATGATGGTGTCCACACACAGCTGATGCCCCAAACCTAACAACAGTAACCAATATCAAGTGGGAAAAGAAGCACTTTTTTCTGAACAGCAGAACAGTATTTGTTTTACTCCAAGAAATCCAACTTAAGTTTGTTCTTAATAAATTTTGATTTATTTTTAGAACTAATATTAGTTTCCACCTAGAAGATTTGAGCATTTATATACATTGCAGTAAAATTATGCAGTGCAGGCCATTGGGGTAGAAATAGCTTTGAAGAGAGAAAACTGGGCAGAAGACCTTGAACTACTACAAACTTGCCTGAATATACCTTTCAATAGAATAGAAAAGAAATAAGTTACTGAAGCCTATTTAAAAATAAACAAGCATGATCTAGATTTACTGTTTAACTTCCAAAGCAGAAATGGCTGCACTACTCTAACACATAGACCAGAAAACAGGATGACCAGATGATTGGTTTTTACACTGTGTATTGCAGGCAGCTCAAAGCCAGTCTTTAACCCAGGCTGAGAAGTGAAGATGAAATTTTCTGCAGCACTGTTACAAAAGACAATCTTTGGTAAGACAAAAAAAAGTAAAAACACCCTGTCTCTATTCAAAGGTGTGCTGGATTTCCATCAGGTGACAGATAAAGTCTTTATGGGAAAGCAAATTAACACAGCAAAACAGAACAGGCATGGCATCATCAGACCCTGTACTCCAGTCTCAACCACACTTACATTTTTCTGATTCCTGCAGAGATCTGATTGCTTCCCCACATTTATCACTTGCCAGCAAAGTCTGGCCATGGTAACAGTATGCCTGATGGGAGAGGACAAAATCATTACCAACATCACTGGACATTTCCTGCACCAATTCCCTTCTGCTCCCTACAGCAGCTGCAGCTCTTTGAAGCTGCCATTCTCTGCAGGTAGTTGACAGATGGGGAATTTAAGTCAAAGCAGCATTCACTGAACAATTAATGCAGTTCAACATGAACACTGTGAACCAGAACCATGAACTTTTGGTATGAACCAAGCTGTGTTCGGTCTAGCCAAGAGCAACTGAGCTGCATGGAGCTGTTTGACCTGAAGCACCAGCACACAGGCCAGTCCAAACTCTCACCGTAGCAGCGTGCTGCATCAAGCCCCAGCACAGAAAGAGAATGAACATCAGGCAAGTTTACAAAGCTAAGACTGGAAACTAAACACCTGAACACTCAAAAACTCCATCTGTGACAAACATCACTGAATCTGGAGAAGATGAGGTGTTCTGCTGTCTGACATCTTTTGTCATAGTCCAAATGACCTTTCCACCCCAGAAGGTCCCATTCCTTCATATCTGTGCTTGAAGGTAGTATTGTATTCCAGTGAGAACTAATTTCCTATTATCTATTATCAGGAGTTGAACTGAACTAGTAAATACAATAGGTGAAGGAACAATCCCACCAACTAATGCCTACCTTTCCCCCCTTCCTTTAGTGTCTGTTCTCACAGTACCAATCTATCCAAATCTACCATTGCCCAGATTACTCAAATTTAAAAAAAGAAGTACCACAACTCTTACCCTCCCTCACCTCTCAAACCTGCTATTAAGGCAAGCAGCTTTTAGCTACAGGTTCAGCCTAAGAGAAAGATAATTATGTAAACTGCTTAGTTTGGGCCTTTTGTACAGTATAAAACAGACAGATTACAGGCTGTGGCAGGCTACAAGATACAGCAAATTGAGCAGCTGAGAATCTCAGGGGCACCACAGCACTTGCCAGGAGATCCATCAGGCAAATAGGGACAGCTCTTGGAATGGTACCTTTTGGTACTTGATGCAGTTTCATTCAGAGCCTTCATAAAGATGCTCAGCTCTGAACTGTGCCTAGGATCAGGCTGTGATGTAGATAACAGAGACGACCATTATGCTCAACCTGAATTGCTTCAATTAAAGATCTGTGATCACAACAAATCCGCACTGCTGCAATTTCATTTGGCTCCACAAAAATGAGTTCAAATGTCACTGACACTGCACAATTCCTCTTCACAGTATGGAAAGAAAGCCAAGGCAATACTTAGCCCCCATTCCCTATGCAGCCCTTGGCAGACAGACAACAAGCTGCGACTGCTGCCACGCAAAGTACTTACGTAGGCCATATAGAAACAGCTCTTCAAGTTTAAGTACTTCCTCCATTTACCTGCATAGGCTGGATCCAAACTGGATAATGTTTGATCTGTGAACACATATGTAAAGTTATTCTTAAGACATTTCCAAAAAGAAAAACCCCAAACACATTATAAGACCAGAGTTCTTAAACTTAGCAATAGATCCTAACTCCAAAGTATCCAGAAACAAGGGACAAAAGTTACTCCTGCAAAAGCACAGAAAAACTACGAGAAAAAAACCAAAACTATGCAGCTATCATGCAATTGTCCCTAGAATCCCTGAAACTGCTGTCCACTAAGTCTGGAAGGCTAATTCTCTAAGTATTTTTAGTAAGCATTTCAAAGCTTGCTCCTAGTTTCCAGTAGTGACCTATAATGTGATGTATGTTACAGTGTTCTCCTGACTCCCACATTTCTCCCACTTGTAAGCCTCAGTAAGCCCAGAGATCATCTTACTCCTCTGGAAGGCGGTACATAATGAACCCACTCTACTCCCCATGCTCTGCATCATGATCTGCTGCCCAAAGGCAGCTGGAACACACTCCATTGACATCAGGCCATTTGTCTGCTGCTAGTCTGTCTTCCTTCACTAATGTTTCCTTCCATGAGTTACAGAAAAAGATTCCCACAAAACCAAAAAGCTTTGTCAAAATACATGCTGATAACTGAAGCCTTAAATGTGCTAAATAGAAGCTAAATACACACTCCATATCCACTGAGAGCAGCATTAATACTGCAATTTATGGGTGGGTGAAGTATATTTGCTGGCAAGAATGCATAAACCAAGTCACTAAGGATACAAAACAAGACACTCACCAGCTTTTTGGTAGAAGTTGGCTGTTTCATAAGCAAGAGCAGCTATTAGGCCTGGATTGTGTTTCAGCTCAATAGCCCGAGCAATTGTCACTGAAAAAAAGTTCCACACCATAGTTTAAGTTTAATTGAAATGTCCCATCACATCAAATCAGCAGAGGCATTTAGGGTTTTAAAACCCCTGCACGAACAGGAAATAGATATTGTGCAGTCAAGCAAACAGCAGACTAAAGACAGATTGTTTCTTGGATAGAATAATTTAATTTAATAGAAAAATTTATTCCAATTTAATAGAAAAACTGAAGGAACGTTAGCCTTAAGATTAGCTAATAAAGAGAAGCTTCACATATTTTTAAGTAAAGGAACTGGGAATTTATGTTAGGCAAGCATGGCTTGCATGAAAGGAGAAAATAAGAAAAAGGAGCGCCACACACAATTTCTTCCTAAGTGAAAGATATTCCGCATTACAATTGTAATATCAGACTGATTTGTGGCATTTTCCTTCTATAATTTTAACAAAATTTTCTTTAAAAGCAACCTGCCCCACTGTGCCACAGTACTTCAGGAGAATAAAAAACCCATGGCCTTGCTGCCAACCAGAATTCATGAGACATTGGTGACCCACAGAGTCATTTCCCACACTCAAGCAATGCATATTTGAAGATACCTTCTTGAGCTTCAGCTTGACACTGTACTATGTAGGAGTCTATAAGTCGAGCTTCTAAATCTCTTCCCTTTTCCACAGGTGTAATCAATTTTGGAATGTGATTTTCCTGAATACAAAGCAAGTCTCAGAGTTAGTTTAGGCCTAATACCAGTGCAAAACAAGTGCCTCATTCCTAAATGGATGGGACACACTGAGTGAAGGTCCCAAGACAGCACTGTAGCACATGATATGGGCAGACAGACAAACAGTCTTCCAGTGCCACTGGGAATGAGTTGCAGGGATTGAGTGGTACCACAACATATTAATACCTTTCTGTTCCCTGTATCATTCAGGTGGTCTCAGGTATATGTGTATAGCAAAGGCCTCTCTACGACAAAAAGTCAAATATTTGAAGACTCTTTGAAGAACAGACAGCAAAGAAAGTCCTTCTACCTTCAGGTGTTTAAAAATCCCAGCTGCTATCTTCAGGCTGCGATGAACATCTTTTGCTTCATCTTCTGTTATACTGAGAAAGTAGAATGAACCAGTAAAGTTATAGTCAGAAAGGGCCTCTAAGTGTCATTTAATGCCATCTCATGCCTTGGGGCACCACAACTGGCAACAGCAGACCAGGTCAGTTATGGATTTGTCTAGATGAATCTTAAATCCTTCAAGAATCAAGAGTCAACTAATTCCCAAAGTGACCTGTGCTATGGCTGTGCTACCCTCAGAGTAAAGGAGATTCCTACAGTGTCCAATCATGAAATAATCATAGAGAACTCACTTGGAAAAAAAGAAACATAAGATCTGTGATAAATCTCAAGTAAAAGGCAACCTCAGTGTTAGAAGCCAAAGATTTACAAGTCTGTAGGGCTAAACGTCAGCAGAGCTGTGATTTTGAGAATCTGAGTTTTGTACCTGGACATTTAGAAGGGGACTGATGAAGAGTTTACTGACCAATGACACTTTCTCTCACCACAGTCACTGGTGGTACTACTGCACTTGGTTTACAGAGGCAAGAAGGGACTGAAGTGCTTGTGCGTAAACACCAACTGCCTCCTGGAACTCCTCTGTCTGAGCTGGACATGTCCCACAGCAGGCAACCCCCAAAACCTGCTAAGTCTTTGGTGGAGTATTGCTACAGCAGAATTGTTAGGAAAGAAAAACCACTTACTCTTCTTTTCCAGCGAGTCTTGATGCATATTTTGTGTACCATAGAGCTACATTAAATCCCATGGAAATCAGTTCAAACACTGCATCCTGCTGGGCACTAAAGAAAGACAGACAAAAACCCCTCAAAAACTTTACGCATTCAGCTTTGTTCTGACATCTCTCTCTGCTGATAGTTCACGTAGCAAAGCCAACACTTCTCTCCATAAAACATTTCCCATTTAAGATGTCAACAATTTCCAATTCAGAACCTCCTACTTGCTGAACTACCTAAGACAGACTTCAATTTTTTTACTTATTCCCTTTAGAAACTCATAATTAGAATCTCCCACATTCAGATGCCCACCCTTCCCTTTTGGGAACTTTTATTTTAAAACTGTAACTTGAGATTTGTTTAGCTTTGGGTGTGGCTGACATTTTTCCATCTCTTTTTTTTTTTTTCAATTGCACATTTTGTGGAAAGCCTTGCCCTGGAATGTCCACTTTAAAGCTGTAGTGCTAAGTTAATAAGTCAGAGTCTGTTACAAGTTTCTCAAATGAATGTTATTGCAAGCATTTATGTAACTGCAGACAAACAGCATGTGCAAATAGCAGGAAATTTCAAAAGCTAAAACCAGAGCCTCTGAAAGGACTCAACTTGCAATCACAAGCTCAGTATAGCTTAGGAACTATCAAACCTTTTAAAAAGAAAGACGTGGGAGTGGGAACAGTAATGCTGGCACAAGTACAGGAGTGTATGACCGTGAGAAAATTAAAAGAGAATCCTAATCAACAGATTTTCTTCCCTGGGGAATAAAACCTTTGAGAAGGCCAAGCACTTCTAGCTAAAGCTTGACAAATTTCTAGGCGTGGTTATACAACACAACTACCTCCAACAGCAAGAGACAAGTGAATAATTCAGGAGGTTACAGATCTGTATTCCTACAGGAAACAGAGGATTAGTTTGTTTGAACCAAGAGGACATATACTTGGAGCTTCAGAGGACAAGAAAAAAACCAGGTCTTCAGCAACACTGGAACCTCCAAAGAGAAGTTCCTGCTCAGGCAATAGTGCCGAATATTCAACTGCAGCGAGCTCTTTTACCATGCTCAACTCATCAATGCCCTCAAGGCTCTTCTTTGTACTACTCTAGTCAACTGCAGGCTCAGTTTGTAGATCAACTGAGACCCAACGGATCCTTCTACCATTGTTGTGCATTCTCACAGCTTTACATAAAGGCCATGCACACTTCAGAACACCTGACACAGTACAGTAGCTACCCAAAACACAGCAACACCTTTTCAGAAACTACTTTTTGCTACATTTCTGTTTCCCTTCAGGCCTGTGCTGGCACAGGTGTGTGTGTGTAACAGAGCAGCAAAGAGCAGCTGCTTTACGCACACTCAGAAAAGCACACGCACCTCGGGACTTGTCCTTGTAACGTGTCAGTCCACTTGAAATTCTGAATGTATCTCAACTTGCACTCTTGGGAAGAGTCATCCAGTGAAAGGATAAAACCTATGGAATAATAAAACAAGCAATCTCGAAGTAGAAAACACAAATTCATAATGAAGGAGATGGATTAATATGAATACAGATATGGATAAAGAAATGTTTCTTGCTAAACCCCTCAAAACCCCATGTTACTTCCATGGGGCCTCTATTCCACAGTATCTTGAGAATAAAATGTGGGGAAAACCAACCCAGCACGTTACCAACTCAGTCCTGAGAATCTTGACTGCTCAAGGAAAACCTGGCAGATGTCTGCATGTCCCATATGGTGACAAGTTGGGAGTGGGACTGGCCCAGGTACAGGATGGCTGAGGTTCTTCAAGGTGAGTGAGTGGCTGTCTCTGCCACCATAGTGGCAACCAGGAAATTCCAAGAAAAGCTGCCTGCTCAACAGGGAGAGGGAAAAAGGCTTCTAAGCATGGGCTCACCTAGTCATCATCTATCTCCAGGACTACAAGAAATTGGTTATGTCCAGTAGCCAAGAAAACAGCAGTTAGTGGGATGAAGCTCATGCTATGGGATGTTGAAATCCTAGCATATGCATGCCCAGGAACTTTTTAGGGAGGCTGAAGAAGTGCCTTGGTCTGATCAGGTCTTACAGACTTTAAGAGGTTAAGAGCTTGCCATAGCAGCTATTTGGGCTACGCCTGTCAGTGTGTTTATAAACAAAGAAAATACTCGTTCCTTTCACATGCAGGAGATTTTAGTGGCAAAGCATGATATTTTCCTGAACAAACTCTCCAAATCATAGCTGTAGCAACAGGGATTCTTATCTGACCTTGAGACGACATTAGTCTACGCCATTCCCATGGGCTCACTAAATCAACATTTACCTCCCACAGACTGAAAGATCCCACTTTCCACAAACCAGCTGATTCCTGAAAACTCAGTCCTAAGAACCTGGCCAAGCACCTGACTGCTAGGAGAGAGTTACCAAAATATTGGCAGAAGGAAGGTTTCAAAGGAATGTGTCATCAGAGGTGAACAATCTACTGAAAATGCAGATACCATGCTGATGAGCACCTACATATATACACACACCTAAGACAAACAGCAGTAGAAGGTAAACTTGCAACAAATCTATGGTCTAGTATTAGACAAACCAGAAGTTTACACTTCTGAATAATAAATTATATCAACTGATTAATAGACTCAATTATATTCAGGGAGAAATTCACCATCACCTAAGAGAAAAATACACGTTTTCTCCTCCGCCAGAATGAGGCTAACAGCAGGAGGGCAGGGCTGCCAGCACTTAGTACTGGCAGGGTCACAAAAGGACACGGGAACTCAGAGAAGGGGTCTGGTGAGCAGTCACCCCTGGTACCAAGCACAGAACCCATGCAGACACTCTCCTTCCTGTGCAAAGTGCAAAGAAGTGCAAAGCTTCTTTACAGGACATCAGAACAATTCACATTCTGAGAAGTGCCACTAAAATTGAACTGGTATTTCTCTTGATGAATTAGTAGTACTGCTAATAAATCTTCCTACCTTGCAGGAGTGAGAAGTACAAGTCAGCTGCATTCTTCATCATTTCTGGATTACAACTTGAGTCTGTAAACAGCTCCAAGAGCCGTGTTCGAGATAACCTCAAGTCACTAAATCAAAAGAAAGCAAACAAACAAACAAAAAAACCTAAGAATTTCTACTCAAAAATATACTAATACAGAAAAATCTTCCTTTCTCCTCTGGATACATATGACTGACTCTTTGGTACAATCCATTCTGGTCACACAGCAGTAGATAATGAGTACTCAATCTATTGTACTAACACTAACGAAAATAACTACGCCTTTACCTACCAAGAGGCTGGGTGCACAGGGAAGAAAGGAAAGTAACAAGCAGAAACATCCTTCAGTATTGGAATGGGATAATGGGATGATGAGATGAAGAGATGTCTGCAAAATAAGCTGAGATCCCTTTTTCATTACATTCCTATCCACAACAGAACAGTCAGGCCTTATCCACTTATGGAAATTAAGCAATCTTTTGCAGAGGAATGCACAGTCATCAGAAAGACAATGAAGTGTTTCGTCTTTTCCCTCTGCATTGTTGTAATTGGCCTTGCTGTGCACTCAGAGACTTGAAAACTGGAGAATTCATTCTCTGTAAGCAAATGCTCAGTGTCTTACTGCCTCCCTGCCTAAACATTTCCAGTCATCTTCAGCTCAAAAACAGAAGAGAAACCGTTACTTATAAGGATGTCCCCCAAACTGCAAGAGGCAGAGTGAAGTTAGTCCCAAGTACACTTACTTGCAAACTTTTGTTGCAGCTGGAGTGGTGGCTACCCCATAATAATTAAATGAAACGGGAGCTGTAGCCTTCAGAGGGTTGCGATGGAACCAGTGGGTCATTTTCTTCCTGTAATGTGGTTTATGCCAAATCTAAGGAGTGGAAAGGAAAGAACAGCTTCAGGAACAGGTACAACTGAGGTGCTGCACATGTCCTGCTCCTCACAGAAAGATATTCCAAATATAAACAACTAGGCAAGAAATTAATTTGAAATTAATTTGTTCTTCCCCATTTGAAATGCCAAGCTTCCATATGCCCTGTACTCATCATCCATGTCCTTAGTGTGAGAATTGCACTCTCTTGAAATACAAATGCTTTCTGAGGCAACTATTTTAAGTTACACAAAAAGCTACCACCTACTTTGCTCTATGTGAGCACACATATTCCCAGGGAAAAAACCTCCCCATTTGTTATCTCCTGCATAAGGCTGGACATACCTGTAAATTACATGAGAAATATCTCAGAATCACAGAACCAATTGGGTTGGAAAAGACCCCTGAAATCACCAACCCAAACTTTTGACAGAACATTCCTGTGTCAACTAGACCATGGCATGGTGACATGTCCAGTCTTTCCTTAAACACCTCCAGGGATGGTGGGTGACTCCATCACCTCCCTGGGCAGCCCATTCCAATGTTTAACAACCCCTTCTGTGAATAAATTCTTCCTAATGCAAAACCTGAACCTTCCTTGGCACAGCCTGAGGCCATTTCCTCTCATCCTGTCACTTGTTACCTGGGAGAAGAGGCTGATCCCCAGCCTGCCACAACCTCCTTTCACGGAGTAGTAGGGACTGATAAGATCACCCCTGAACTGCCTTCTTCTTTTCCAGGTTAAATCTCAATTCACTGAGATCATTATACTGTGTCTAGTCCACCTGTGAGTAGCTTGTATTTGGGAGCCTTTGGTATAAATGGATCTGCAACCACAAACCCTGACTGCAAACATGGACCTATTTACATACATGTATCAGACCTGGAAGGTTGGAAGGGCAGAGACAAGCCCGACTATCTCTTTCGCTTCAGTTTCAGCAGACAAATACAACACAAGCATTGCAATGAGCTTTACAACAGCAATGCGGGGTAATGGAACATAATGGGCACATCCTGAACATGGGAAGGCCCTACTGGATAAAAGGTGAAACTCTTTCACCATGAGGACAGAAAAACGGAGAAGGAAGTTGTGTGCTCTCCATCCTCAGAGGCTTTCCAGACCTCGCCGGACAAAGCCCTGAGCCCCCGGTGTGACCTCGGAGCTGTCCCTGCTCCGAGCAGGACGCCAGGACCTCCATCATCTCTTGGTCCTTCTGAAAAACCCTGAAGTTCATCCTTATAAAACACTCTGCAGCTTTGCTGCAACAAACAAACCCCAAGAAGATCTCCCAGCACAGATCCCCCGGCACCGTCCAGACCCTCTTGACCGGTTTTGTTCATCGCGTCGGCACCGATCGCGCCATGCTTATCGTGCCGACACCTCTCGGGGCCTGTCCATCATGCCAGCGCCTGTGGCGCCGTGCCCACCCACCTGCCCAGCGCCGCTGTCCCCGCGGTGTCGCGGCCCGGCCCGGGACGGTCCCTGAGAGGATCCCGAGGCCGCGGGACCCCGGCCCGGCCCCGCCGCTCCCGGCGCTGCGTCACGCGCCCGCCGCCGCAGGCAGAGCCAGCCGAGAGCCGATGGCACCGCCCCATCGCGGCCGATCGCATCGACCCCGCCGCTCGCCCTCCTCACCACCGGAGCCCCCGGGCCGCCGCCAACAGCAGCAGCCCCACGGCTGTGGGACCTTCCCCCGGGACAGCGGCTGCCGGGGCGACAGGGGCCACAGCCCTCCCCCGGGAAGTACCCCGAACGCCGCCAACACCCGCGGAGCGGGGACGCCAGCAAGCCGGCGGCGGCACCTGCCCTCCCGGAGGGGCGAGACTGCCCGCGATGCTGCAGGGGGGAGCCGGGGCTTACCTGGGGGCGGGCCTGCGGCGGCGGCACGGCCGGGAGCGGAGGAGGGAGGAGCGGAGGAGGGAGGAGCGCAGGGAGGAGCGGAGGGAGGAGCGGAGCGGCCCCGCCCAGAGCCCCGCCCATGCGCACGTGATCTGCGCCATGACAGGTACCGGGGCGGAAGTGGCGCTCTGGCCTCGGTAGCGATGGCGCGGGCGGGCGCGGCCGGCACCGCCTCCCCGGCTGGGCGGTGCGGGCAGGAGGCGCCGCCGCGCTCGGGTGTCCCGGGGCCGGGCTGGGCTGTGCCGGGCGGGGCGGTGCCGTGCCGGCGGCGCGGGGCTGGCGGGAGCGGCTGTCCGGCGCGGTGGGTGCCCCGGCGCGGGGTGAGCATGGTGCCCTAGCGCTGGGGCTATGTCGGAGGCGGCCCGCAGCCTCCTGCAGCGCTGGGGCGCCAGCTTCAGGAAGGGCACCGACTTCGACTCCTGGGGGCAGCTGGTGGAGGCGATCGACGAGTACCAGATGTGAGTGCGGGCCCGGCACGGCCCCGGAGTCGCGGGCGAGGCGCCGGGGTGAGGGAGCGGCCCCGGGTGGGGCGGGGCAGGGCAGGGGGGCCCCACCGGGCCCAGGCCGCGGCCCCCTCACCCCTGGGGCCCCGCCGGCGGGTCCGGCCCTTCCCCAAGGCGCGGGGCCAGGGGCCGGGGCGTCCCCTCGGGGGGTGCCCGGCCGGGGGGCGAGGCGGGAGCCGGCCGTCCTGCTCTCTTGGGAGGGCGGTAGCGGCCGGCGTGGAGCTTGGAGCAACCTGGTCTGGTGAAAGGTGTCCTCCTGCCCATGGTAGTGAGTGGAACAAGGTGATTCTTAATGTCCCTTCCAGCCCAGGACTGTGATCTTGTGCGTGTGGGCTGTCGGGGTGGTTGTTTGGTGGAGCCCCCGAGGCACCACTGGACCGGGATGCCCCCATCCCGTTGCCCTGGCACCACACTTGTGGGAACGGAGTGACCTAGCTAATGGGTTGCCTAAGCGCCAGCCTTAACCAAAAAAAACCTCAACCAATCCATCAGAATGAAAGGGGGTCCATTACACGCTTTTGTGTTGTGTCCCTGATGGTACCAGGGCAGGACAATGGGGAACCTGGCAGGCCCAGTCAGGTTGGCTGGCACAGGGTGACACCGCACCATCCGTGAATCCTTTGGCAGCAAAGGAGTGTCGGCTACAGGGCACTGATGATGGACTCCTTTGAAACACACCGGGTACCTTTAGTCAGATGTTCTTCCCTACCACTCCATTCACCATGACAATGAAAGTTATTTCTCTGTGACTGGAGTATTTCAGGCCAGGCTTCTTTCTCATGGTGAATTTTCTGGACATTTTCAGGAGGGTTTGGACTTTTTCACCAAGAGAAAGTTACCTGAAGAGATGCTCCCTGAGGAATCTTTTAGCACTGTTCAGGACTGGTCAAGTTGGGTTGTAACCACACCAGCTGCCAGTTCAGTTGTCATTCAGAGTAACTGGTCTGTTGGCCACGTACTGTGTGGTCAGGAGAGGCTGTAATCTCATCATTTCATTCACCCACCAGGAAGGATGATGCAAGTTCAGTGATTTGCAGTTTGCTGATGGCCTTTAGAGTAGGGCAAGCTATTACTCTACAAACCTTGGCAGAGAGATGAAAAGAAGTTCTCTTCCAGATCTGTATCTCAGCAGAAAAAAAGTATCATCAAGAAGTAAAAGAAGATATTTTTACTAACTGCACTGTTGTGGATGTCTACAAGGAGTCTAATAGAATCCTAATGCTTTAAACTGTCTAAGCAGTCTGAGCAGTGAGTTTCATATAATGATGTTTCTTTGGAATGAAAAGTCTTTGGGTTCTCCTGAGCTCTCTTCATTGAGAAGTGAGGTCACTAAACATTTGCAGACAGTCCAGTTTGAGAATTGAAGTGCAACTTCTGTTGCCTTCCTTACTCCATTGCTTGTGTCGCACAAGAGCTGAAGTGATCTCCACACCCTGGCTCTGTTCTGACCTGGGAGCAGAATGCTGTCTTTGTAAAGAAGCTCCTCTTGGGTGGAAGCTGCTCTTATCAGTGAGTTTCTACTAAATACTTGTCAGTAGATCAACTCTGTGGTCGGAGGACTGAGTAGGAAGGAGAAGATCAAGGGATTACAGGGAGATATTTCCTAGGGAGGAGCAAAATCTTTGTGTGTATATCTTCTTTTTCCTGATCTTAGCAGGTAACTTAATAACAGTATCAAGCTGTAGAGTAGAAATTGCAAACAAGCAGCGCAGGGCAAGATACCGAGCTGTAGTTCTGGAGAGACATTGCAGGATGGGTTTATGGTGTTACCTTCTCAAAGGCACACTGAGATGGGATGAACAGGTGTGGTGCTGCTGTTGTCCAGGTGCTGTGAAAACCAGCATGGTCTGTGCTGATCCACACAAGCTTCCTGGAGAGAAGCTGGTTACGCTGAGCTTGCTGATGCTGAGAAAGCTTAGATTTGGGGAAAATCTTAGTCCTGATGGCTCCTGAAGTAAAACACAATTATGTACCTCCTGTGTCCATCTGCTCAGTTCTTCATGTTACTCCTGGAAGTACAAGAAGCTTGGTACAAAGATTGGCCCTCAGTCATTCAGGTGATTATTCATGCAGGAACACTTCAAGCTGTCAGTGGCTTCCCTGTTAAATGTCCCAGTCTGTGGAACTTGGTCTCATCCAACTTTGAACAAGCTTCAAAGGGAATGCCAGATGCATTTATTTGGATTAGGGTGGATTTTTTTTGTATTAGTGACAAATGGAAAGAAGGTTATGTTAGTGATGCTTGCAGAAATGTTAATGCTGTGATGCTGCCTGTTGTGGGTGGCATATTGCTGCTATGGTGATCTGTTTTCTTAAATCATTACTTTAAAGTGCCCTTTCTCTGTGTCCTTTGTATCATAGGGCAGGCAGTAGGCAAGGAATGCACTTTTGGATTCAAGCATGTTTATGCTTTTTGTCTTTTCTCAGCCCCGGTATTTCTCCATTTTTGAAGGGGGACACCACCAAGTTGTGCTGTTTCCTTATTCTGTTTGGTTGTATTTTCCCTGGTGAGAGTTAAAAGCTATAGTGGCCTCAATCAGTATGAACATTTTTTGAGAGCTGATTTTGAGGAAAAGCAAAGCAGTTGAGTTCTAATTTTTGTTCCTGCCACAGCCTTTGACAACAAACTGTCCTGCTGGATGCATCTTGATGTATGTATTTTATAAACCCCTCCTAAAGCTGGGCCGATGCCCACAGCAGTGGTGGAGAGAAGTAGAGTCCCTTTCACAGGGCAAACTTGTGAGGTTCCAGGAGGAAGCCTGTTGTGATGTCCCTGGGTTTCCCCTCAACCCCTGTCCTCTCTCTCTCTCTGCTTGTAAAAAAAATTATTTACAGGGAATGGCAACAATTGCCCAGAAGTTTTGCTTGTTTAATGTCCTCCTTCCTCCCGGGACGGAAACTGTAACTCTTCCCGTAGCTTCCCTCCAGCTTCCTTTCGCTTTCTCGAGCTGTTTGCTTACTGTTACTTTCCAAACCCCTTGGTACTCCTGCCTTGGTGATGACAAGGGGTGGGGTTTGTGCTCCGCCTGTGATGCTGACAGGCACAAATGTGAGCGGATCCACCCTGAGAGCCTGGGCCAAGCCGCCCTGTGCCTGGCTTCCAGAGCTGGGAGTGTGTGCCACGGCTTAGGGCGCCCTCACCCGAGACCCCCGGCATCCCACTCGCCTCAGCCGCTCCCTGGGAAATGCATGTGGGACTGCACCACAGCGGGTCTTCACAAAGGCTGGGGTTTGTTATTATAAAAGAAGGGGGTTGTGAGAGGAAAAAAGTCAGTGCTTGTAAAAAGGGCTTTTGGCTAAAAGGACCCTCTTACCTGTTCTCCCTTCACGATGCATTAGTCTTTCCTGCCTAATGTAGTTGCACACTTTGTCCACCTTCTGGGGTGTTTTCTTAAGTATGGGCTACCATGACTATAGAAAACTGTTTCAAAGGACAAAAACAAACCAAAAACACAACAATAAAACCAACCCAGACCTCTTTGGTCTGTGAACCTTTTGGCTAACACATTTTCTGGAGCTGGGGTGTGTGTGTGTTTGTGTTGTGTTTCCACTCTACAATTTTCTTTTCCCCATCCAGATTAGCAAGGCACCTCCAGAAAGAGGCGCAGTCTCAGCACAACAACTCGGAATTCACAGAAGATCAAAAGGTGAGTACTGCTGTTTGCTCAGGCAAGGGGCTTGACTCATAGATGTTGATGTGTGTTATGATTTTTTATCTTGCAGGCCAGAGCCTTATGAGATCTTTTTTCCTCCTGCAATATACGCAAACAGAAACAGAGCCCAGCGTGGCTAAAATGGTTGCTGTCATTAGATGTGAGGAATGCTCTGCTCTGCTATTGAATGTTAGGCATGCTGGCCAGAATCCTTCATAACCTGGGTGTTTTTTTTGGTTTTTTTTTTTTGGAGTAATGTTTGATAACTTACTTATTCAACATTGGCACAATTTATGTCATGAGTTCTGAATACAAAACATCTTGAATTGCAGACATTGAGGGTGTGTGAGGGGGATGAAAGCTTAACATGTAACACCTGACAGGGAAGGGTCCTGGCAGGCAGAATACTCCCTAGCAGCCTCTTAGAATGTTACTTGTTTATAATCTTTCAAAATATT